TAGCCTTTGCAAAGCTTTTCCAAAATCCACTTGTGAACTTTGAATCTTGATCACTAATGATATCCTCTGGCAAACCAAAATCAAGAAAAACCTTCTCCAAGTAAACCGCAGCCAAGTCTGAGGTAGTGACAGTCTTCTGAAGAGCCAACAACCGTACATACTTCGTCAACCAATCCACTATGACCCATACTTGCTCCTTTTGCCTCTATGTTCATGGCAAATAAGTGATGAAGTCCATAGAGATACTACACCAACGGCTTTGAGGAATAGGTAAAGGTTGCAAAAGTCCCTCCGGCTTCTCCAGTGGCACCTTAACCCGTTGACAAAGCTCGCATGATTTACAATACTTGAGGATATCAGCCTTCATATTCCTCCAATAAAAGTTGCACTTAATCAACTCATATGTCTTTTTCCCCCCAAAATGAATGGCCTTTGGAAAATCATAATAGTGGAATAAAACTTGAGTAATTAACACATCCACCCGTGGCAAATATACACGGCCATTGTAGTAGAGAATCCCATCCACCAATGAGAAAGGAGCTTCCATTTAGTCTCGCAAAGAGGCCACTTCAGCATCCTGAGCCTGAGCATGCTCAACCAACTGCCCAAACTCGCTAACCACCTTACTCAAATGATGACAAAATCGTGTTTGTAACGTCATCACATGATGAACACGAGATAAAGCATCTGCCACCACATTTGATTTTCCTGGACGATGCTCAATAGGAAACTCCCCAAACTCCATAAATTTGACCATCCAACGAGCTTGCTTAGTGTTTAACTCCTTCTGTGTGAAAAAATACACAAGTGGTTTGTGATCTATCAACACCACGAACACTGCACCATAAAGATAATGCCACCATGTCCGCAAAGCATGAACAATAGAGAGTAACTTTTGCTCATATGTGGAATAGCATTGCCCCGCGGAATTCAAAGTTTGACTCTCATATGCAATAGGCTGTCCCTCTTGTATGAGAACTCCTCCCAGTGCATAACCACTCGTATCGTATGTCACCTCATAAGGTTTCGATGGATCAGCAATGTGAAGCACTAGAGTCTCGCTCAACAATCATTTCAGCGCCACAAAACTCTCCTCTTGTGGCTTCTTCCACTCGAATGGCACATTCTTGCGTAACAACCGCGTCAAAGGAATAGCCACCTCTGCAAACTTATGCTGGAAACGTCAGTAGTAACTACCTATACCAAGAAAATTGCGCAACTCAGCCACTATAGTTGGTGTAGGCCAGTTTTCCACCACAGCCACCTTCCTTGGATCCGTCTTGACACCCTTAGATGTCACAATATGGCCTAGATATTCCACCTCCGACTTTGCAAATTCATATTTGCTCTTTTTTGCATAAAGTTTGCTGTCTCGAAGTAACAAAAGAACCTTGCGCAAATGCACCCTATGCTCCTCCATATTCTTGCTAAAAACAAGAATATCGTCCAAGAAAATCTCCACAAACTCATGAAGATAATGCCCAAATACCTTTGTCATCAACCGAGTAAATGTGGCCGATGCATTTGTCAAACCAAACGGCATAATTGTAAACTCAAAATGTCCGAAGCTTGTGTTGAATGCCGTCTTGGAGATAGATGCATCATCCATTGCAATCTGATGATATCCACTCCTCAGATCAATCTTGGTAAACACTCGTGCTTCACCAAGCTTGTCTAGGATATCATCCACACATGGCATCAGCATCTTATCCTTCACTGTCTTCTTGTTCAAAGTGCGGTAGTCAATACACATTCGCATTGAACCGTCCTTCTTCACAAGCAAGACTGGAGCATCAAACGGAGACTTACTTGGCTGAATAAATCCAAACTCAAGTAACTCCTTGACTTGTCGTTGAACTTCTTGCTCCTCCGCATAACTTAACCGAAATGGACGCCAGTAAATTGGTCGCGTCCCCGGCTCCAATGGAATCCCATGCTCCACACCTTGTAATGGAGGCAATCCATGAGGAAGTTCAGATGGAAAAACATCAGAAAACTCGTCTAGTACATCCCGTACTACTGCTTCTCCCCCACACGTGCCTTGGTCCCCCAAGTCACGAACAAACAGCAAGTAACTCGAAAGTGCTTTTCCATTACGACAAGCCTGCTTCAAAGATGTAGCAGAGAGCATAACAACTGGTGGTTGAATGCCCTTGCCAAACCACACATCTTTAACGCCACCATACTCCAGCGAGATACGCTTAATACTCCACCTTATCTCTGGATCCACCTTCACCAACCATGGCATCCCGAGAATGAGATCCACATGATGGATATCCGCGAGATAAAAAATCTCCACAAGTGTAGTTTTGCCAACCAACACTTCCAGCCCCTCGACACAAGCATCGAAATGCTGAGTAGAGGTAGCTGCACCTTCCACTGTGTATGGAAGAATGCTGCGTGTGACCAGGCCATGCTCCGCAACAAACTTTGCAGAAACAAAGTTGTCATCACTCCCACTATCCAGTAAAATCCGCACTGGATTGCCACGGAACACGCCCTCCAGCATTAAAGCTGATTCACACGTATCCTCGAGCTCCATCTTGTTCCACACACAATTGAGCTGACGAGCAACGATCGAAAGTCACTTCCTCTGACCAGAATGGTTGTTCTCCTCATCCTCACGCTGCAAAGTTTGCAACTTTTTAGTATCTGACTTACTGTGAGAAGAAGATTGGCCATTCTTCTTGTCCTGCTGCTTGTTCTTCAACTGCGGACAATCAGCCTTGTAGTGTCCAAGTTCGCCGCCTGTCTATAATTCTTCACAAAGAACTTTTGCTTCTTGGACCCCTTTGCATCTGAAGTAGTCACCACTAACTTCAACTTGTGATGCTTGTTCCCATCCTTGTGTCCACGGCAATCATCACAACAATTCTTGACAGAAGAACTTTGCAAACGCTTGTGAGACTTGTGCTTGTCATTGTCAAGTCGACGAGCTGCATCAAAGAGCTCCTCCAAACTCTTTGTAGGTTGAGATTGACGCAAGTGTTGCCGCATGCTCTCACTATGTAGACCATCAATGAAGTAGGACTTGTTCTGATCTAGATCCTTCGTTGGAACACAACTAATCAAGTGAGTAAGCTTCTCAATATAGTCCCCGAGTGTCATTTTCCCTTGCTGGAAATGTCGAAGTTCCGTATGAGCATTCTCCACATCGTAATGAGGGGCAAAACGTAAATGGAAAGCAGCCTCAAATTCATCCATGGTAGACACTGGTGGTTTCTTATCCGCAACACGGGACTCCTCAAGCCAATTCCACCATCGAAGACCCACATCATGCAAAACCATTGGAATAGCCACTAAAGCCTCTGCATCTAGAGTTCCTCTAGCAGCCAAGAATTTCTTCACATTAGCTAGCCAAGAGAGACAGTCATCCACACCACCATCACCAGAAAAAGTTGGAATCTTGAGTCAATCTACCAAAGAAGGCTTACTTGGAGCGCTACCCCATCCAGCCTCGAGTGCCTCAACACGCCCATGCATGGTATCCATCATGCTATGCATCTCGTCTTGCATCTCTTGCTGATTTTTATTAAGGGCTCACAGCTCATGAACCACATCTTGAATGGTCCAAATCTCTGCAGCTTCGTCGGCACCATCGTCGGCACCACCATCGACAATAGGATTCCAGCGTTTAGCTTGATCGGCCATCGCAACCAACTTCTCTAATACCAATGTTATGATCCGGCACAAAAAGACAGAGATCTAGTCCCTAGACTATGCTACGCCACCTCTTGAGGTTCCTCACCACCCAACCACCCCCGAGCTACCTCAAAAGCTCCACTAGGCTGCCGCTCCACTATGAGCCCTAAGGTAGGTTAAGTCCCTTACCCTAACATGCCTTAATATAACCTTGAGCCTCCTTTTGACTGACATTGACCACGTAGTCAAAGCTGGCGCCTAACAATGATCAATTTTTCAGGTGCTTTACCATTTCCTGCAAGGACAAGGATTTCAAAGTGGAATGAGAAAGATAAAAGGGACTAACTTACTGCCACGAGAGCATATCTCTGCAATGCAATCCAACCAATCTTTATCGTAGCAAATGTTTGCAATCGCAAGTAGCTTCTTCACCTTTGATTTCTTTGAGTTCAAAATGCACTGCTCAATTTGTCATAGTTCAAGGTTCTTTTGCACTTCATCCATCACTTGTGTAATCTTCAAATATGAATTTTGCTCTGTCTTGACAATTGGCTAAAAGGAAAATTTGTGTGTAGAAAACACAAGTTCATGTAAGTAAAGGATACCTTTGCCCAGAGCGCAACCAAAAAAGGCACCTGATACCAAGTAAGCAACTCTTGGCTTTTACGTGCTACAAGCTTTGCTTGAACTGCTTCCATAACCTCACGACTATACAGCATTTGGATTTCGTCGAGAGAAAGCATGCCAACATATCGAAGGTGCTCAATATCATGGACCAAGGTATGTGCTTGGAAAGAAAATTGATTAACCTTGTAACATAGTTGGTGAGAACAAAGGTTACAAGTAAAAGATTCTTACATGTTGATCTTGTGACATGCCAAGTTGAGCCTCACAGCTTGGTTTCGATCCTGTGGCTCCACAAGTGTCACTGGAACATAAATATGTCACTTGTCATCGTCTTGGAACTTCTCTTGGATACACCTCCAAAACGCAAGCCACCGGTGGTTTCCATCAATAATGAAGAACATCCAGCCTACAAAGGCTTGTGTCTCCTTGTGGCACACCATCAAAGTATCAAACTCCTAAGATTTCTTCTGCCATATTTTATCCCAAGTCTACTCAATCTCATGAGTAACCATGTCTATGCGATTTGTTCCGGGAAATGATGACGACACAATAAACAATCCAGCAGTGTGCCCAAATCCAACCTCTATGAAAGAGGTATAAATAGCTATGTTGAGGTCATAGGCTGAGCGCACCCAGTGACTTTGCTTAAGACGGCAAAGTGGAATCTCAAGATGTTGGGATCCTTTCCAAGCCATTTCACCTAACACCCTATTGATAGTTCATTCTTGAGCCTAGATAATAGTCTCGTGTACTTGCTCATTCAAGATCGTGTCGGCCTCTAGCATAGTTACCACCTCATTTCTGTGACCTTCGGGAGCGGTAGCATGTCCGCCATTTCCACCACCAAGATCTGCCCCACCACCTATAGCACTAGGTGCTTCATTTCTGCCACCAACTTCCACACCACCACCTATGGCACTACCACCAGCAGCTTCTCCTGTGCTATAGCTAGTTTCTGCATTTCCATGCTCTCTAGAACCATCTGGCTCTTGCATGCTAACACCTGGATCAAGATCAACCATTACTTGGATCTGGACACCACTGCTCCCACCATGGTCTTCCTCCGAAGGAGCGCTTTGAACTTGTGAGGTGTCCCTAGTGAATCTAGCACAACGATCTAGCCACTTTCCTGGAGAACGGGTCTATTGAGGTTGACCGGGACGCTTCTTCTGTTGTGGCATGATTTATATATCTGCATGAAAATGACAAATAAACTTGAGTAAACATTAAAAAAACCGCAAAGAAGTTCCCTTGGTGCTGGGAAGATTGGTTCATCACCGAACCAATCTTTGCAGCACCAAGGGAACAATAAAAAGAAGAAAAGAAGAAGTTCCCTTAGTGCTGGGAAGATTGGTTCGCCGCCAAGGAGTGAAGGATGAAGTTCTTATTCTCTTTAGTGACGAAAGTGAAGAAGATGAGCTTCCCGACATAGCTTCCTATACAAATAGGTCCGTTCCTTTTGGACCAATTTTTGAAGCGGTGGATAATGCATTTTAACAATCTCGATTCGAAATATAGAACCCGTGATAAATTTAAACAAGTATAAGTTAATACTTAACTCTACTTTATCACTAGAAACACTATTTTTTTCGCAGAATAAAGAACTGGATGCGAGAAGGGTGAGATGGAAAGTTTCAATCTGGATTGGATGCAATTTTAGACTTAAAAAGAAAATGTCCCTATGAATTTATTCATGGGAGTTTGTTCATTGGCCAAGTGACTTTGAACAGTCAATGCCCTTTCATCTTTAAAATGTCCGCCCTTGGTCTTGCTTCTGGTGTGGACCTTGTACAACAAATGGATATGGAAGGAGATGGGGATTTGGCTAATTCTTGGATCCATTTCGACCATATGGAACGAGTTTCAGGCTGGTCAACAATGGAAGCTTATGTTTATGATCACAAGTAAGTGGTTATTTATTTTTTAAGGATCCATACCGATTTACATTATAACCATTCCTTCTATAGGTTGCAATGCAACTTAACTATAGCTATAGCCGAATTTAAGGTTCAAGATTTCCAAGCACAAACCATCTTTTGGATGTGTATGTCTGAGGTTGTTGAACAGCGAACCGGGAAGAAACCCAACTTCCGTGGTTTCATAGCAAATGTTGCTGGTGCTAACTGGTTGGCTGTATGACAAGTATTCGGAGGTGATAAAAATCAGCCATTACAAGGTAGAGAGAAGAGTTGTGAGTTTCATTGGGCAAAGAGCATCAATGAATATTGCCGATGCATCAAATCTAGCTTCCATCATGAGTTCAAGCAGCTTTGTCGGGAATGGATGGATGCACCAACTTAAGAGGAGCATGAGGCAAAAGCAAATGAGATGCACATATGGTGGCATGAAGGAGAAAAAGTGCTAATTGAACACCTTCCACAAATGGAGTGTTGGCTTGCATGATTGGAAGTTTGAATGTTTCAATGGGGCCATTATATTCTCTGTAAGTTTTCTCTCATTTTCTTTTTTTCTCACATTCAAATGTTGCATTTTTCCTATGATCAACCACTTGATGACATTGCACTTACACCAACAATTAATCTCTCTGAGAGCAAACATTGGAGTTGGAAAGCTTTCAAAGTAGGGAAAGGAAAAGTATTCCTCTATGAAGCTACACTTTCCGACCTCACTAGATCTCTTGAGCAGTCATCAAAAGCTTTGGCTGCACAGGAAACAAGGTTTGGTAGTACATGTCTAAACTTAGAGAAGCTTCAAGAGCAGGTTGGTAAAAGGATAACACCAGTAGCAAGGTCAATATCTAAGATGGTGGGGGAAGTTGTTACTGGAACTCCTATGGAATCAAGTTATGAACCACTTGGGGACATGAGGATAGCCCGTTTGAAGCGTCGACAGACATTTGATGGGCCCAACATCACTCCTTCTAGCTCCCACCATCCAGAGTTTTACTACCATTCTGTTCCATGACACTGGAGAAGAACTAAGGAACATGGAGTGGAGGAGATGCCAATTGTTACACATGTAAATCCAGTGCTAGAGGTTGAGAAGATTATTGCTTGTGAGCCAGCTTCTCGTATCAACTGGGCAGTTTGAAGAGTCAATGCCAAGAGTAATGCGTGTTGCTCTGGAATGATTGGGAGTCGAGGTCAGTGTCTTGCATTTGTGTGCTCAAGTTCAAGTTCTTCAGCAGTTCCATGTTTATGGGGCTGTTGAGATCTAGGGGTAAAGGGTCGCCAGTCAAGTTGGATTTACTGTTGTGGGACTGATGTTGCTCATACAAACCAGATCCACAGCTCAATTATCTTGAAGCCAAATTCTATGCCAGAGGAGTGGCCAGTTGAGCGAAGTTGCAATCTTTTAAAAGAAGAGATTGAAAGTCTAGAGAGAGCTAGTTTCAAGCTGAAGACTTCCTCAAATATTGCTATTGATACTGCTATGCCACCAATGTCAACACTAGACTGGTGTAACGCTCCTGAGTTTGGACTTCCCGGGAGGTCACCCAGCCTAGTACTATTCAAACCCAAGGACGCTTAACCCCAAATATCCCAAGACCCTTAACCGATTGGAAAAGGGGGTGCACTCTTGTTCATGGGCCCTTTCCCTCTATATTTGAACCCCATGGATCGTCTCTCAAGTCGTTCCCTTTGGTTGCTTACAATCCACCACGCTTCCCTGCAAGTTCATGCCCTCGTGAACGGAAGCTGAGAGTTGCAGCTCTCCCGAGAGCCCCGCTCTCTTGACACCCTACCCCTCGGGTCGAGCCTAGCGGGAGCAAACTGGACCAGCCAGATATCAATCAACATGTGGTGTGATTCCCTTAGCCAACCAACAGAGTCGGACTCGAGACCGCTCTGATACCAAATGTAACGCTCCTGAGTTTGGACTTCCCGGGAGGTCACCCAGCCCAGTACTATTCAAACCCAAGGACGCTTAACCCCAAATATCCCAAGACCCTTAACCGATTGGAAAAGGGGGTGCACTCTTGTTCATGGGCCCTTTCCCTCTATATTTGAACCCCATGGATCGTCTCTCAAGTCGTTCCCTTTGGTTGCTTACAACTGGCATACACGACCAGCTAGAAATGGGAAGACTGTACAATATAGGTCTTCCATTTCAAAAGGTGCACAAGAGAAGATCAAGCTAGCAAAGGCGTTGAAATGCACAATCACAAGGATAAACTACATCAGTGTCATGGCTAAGGAGTTTGTTGTTGTGACTGAGTCGTCAAAGGGTACGAGCTACACTATCAGAATCTGCGAAAATCCATCATGTACCTGTCTAGATTTTATACAGAGGGAGAACAGGGGAAAGGTATATTTAGCCTGCAAGCACATCTATTACATTTTTATGCAGGAACTAAACCAAGATCCTAAGGTCGACCATCACATCCATCAGGCAAGCTTTAAAATTGTAGAGCTTGAGAAGTGTTTCTAGATCACTTTTGGTGATTCGGATCTATATTTATATTTGTATTTTATTGATCGAATTTACTTGGAAATATAGATTAAATCAAAATTTGAAAAATGAAAAGATGTTGGTTTGGGACGAACCAATGTTTTCCTTGTGTTTGAGAACTCATGAGCTCAACTTGTGAGCTCAGCTCGTGAGCTCATGAGCTCAAAACCTACCTGGGCTCGGTAAGGATAGAAAGAAAGGACATTGAGGAAGGGTGTTCCCTATATCTCTGGGCATCCTAAAGGTGCTAAGGGTGGTCAAGGGATGATCACTCGTGGATGGATGACTTAGTTTTTAAGAGATGGGACTGTGATGCAGGTGGTGTTGGATCACCAGTGTGACAATGGTGAATGGGCATAGCCTTAGCGTAACGGGCTGATATGTAAGTGATACATTTGGGTGTCAGTCATGGGATCGGACATATGGAGCACTTAGACCAAGTGTAAAGATTGAGTGGCATGGATGCTAGTCTCTGAGCTAGCAAGCCCCAAGTCCAGAATAGAACTTATAGAGGTTGTGAGTGTGACTCCTCCAAGTGGTCAGAGGTATTGTTAAGTTTCTAAAGTAGAATGGAAAATTTAGTCACTTACAATAGGCTCTTGAGCCCCCCAGTGGTCTCTCAAGTGTTCCACCATGTTAAAGTCCCCCACTACCAGCCACTCGTTTGCCACTCCTTGAGTGTTTTGCTGGATGGCTCCCCACAACTACGCGCATTCACTTCATCTTAACAATGCATAAACATTGAGTATCCCAACTCACCCAAAGTGTAAGTGGATTATCAGCAGCTAAACCTTTCTTGGGATGACCACCTTGTATTCCTTCATTTGAGCTGATTGTAAACAACCAAAGGGAACGACTCAAGAGACGATCCATAAGGGTTCAAATATAGAGGGAAAGGGCCCATGAACAAGAGTGCACCCCTTTTTCCAATTGATTAAGGGTTTTGGGATATTTAGGGTTAAGTGTCTTTGGGTTTGAAAAGTACTGGGCTGGGTGACCTCCCGGGAAGTCCAAATTCATGAGCTTACATTTGGTATCAGAGGGGTCTTGGGTCCAACTCTATTGGTTGGCTAGGGGAATCACACCACATGTTGATTGACATCTGGCTGGTCTAGTTTGCTCTGGTTGGGCTCGGCCTGAGGGGTAGGGTGTCAAAAGAGCGGGGCTCTCGAGAGAGCTGCAGCCCTTAGCTTCCGTTCACAAGGGCGTGAACTTGTAAGGAAGTGTGGTGGATTGTAAGCAACCAAAGGGAGCGGGGCTCGAGAGAGAGCTACAGCCCTTAGCCCTTAATAGAAGTTCACGAGGGCATGAACTTGTAGGGAAGTGTGGTGGATTGTAAGGAACCAAAGGGAACAACTCAAGAGACGATCCATAAAGGTTCAAATATAGAAGGAAAGGGCCCATGAACAACAATGCACCCCCTTTTCCAATTGGTTAAGGTCTTGGGATATTTAGGGTTAAGTGTCCTTGGGTTTGAATAGTACTCGGCTGGGTGACCTCCCGGGAAGTTCAAACTCAGGAGCTTACACTAACCACTTGGTGGAGACAATGATTGCCATGCCCCCACCAAGGTGTACTCAAATTGGGGTGGCAGGGTTCCACCAGATTCTTCCCTACATACACAAATTGTAGTCTGGTACTGCTGACATTTTGTGCTCTTGGAGGCATAGAATGTCAATCCCCCCTTCCAAACTTATCTCTTGAACATGAAACTTT